GAAATTTTTTTTTTTAATGGTCAAACTGGAGGGAAAATGCCGATATTTCCGATTTCATTATTTTGCCGAACACTTGAATTCACCATGATGCCTCAGATATATATTTATCGTTTGGATGTTTTTTCTTGAACATCCCCCCTTCCCACAATCGCCTTAAGACATCCCCCTCCCCCGAGAAAAAATTAAAAATTGATCAAATTGATCAAATTGATCAAATAAAAAAAATTGCTATTTTTAACATTATAGAAATATATATATAAACTTTTTAAAATGAACCAAGCAACCAAGTGAAATGAGCAAACAAGCTAAATAATATACCCCAAAAGGGAGCAAAAAAAAAAATCCCTTCTATTTCCCCGGTCAGTTCAGTTGGTAACATCGCTACCTCAGTTCTATCTGACATTTTTAGCCGCTTAGAGTTAATAATAAGACCATGTGATAAAAAACCAAATGCTCCATCTGCTCTATCAAAATTGTACGATAATCCGGAGTCGTTATTAAGGTATTCAAACAACTGCATTCGAAAAAGCTTCACCTATTGTGTGACTCAAAATTTGATACGTCAAATTTCTCAAAAACTAGGTACGTAGTATATAAAACTTTGTAATATAGTTGTAGTTTTGTGTTAGGGTTAAGATAGGGTTAGGGTTGATGGTTTGGAGTTGAAGATTCAGGATTTTTGGTTTAGGGTTTAGGGTTTAGAATTATGGTTAAGGGAGTAGGGTTAAACTAAACCAGAAATCCTGAATCTTCAACTCCAAACCATCAACCGTAACCCTATCTTAACCCTAACACAAAACTAAAACTATGTAATATTATTAATAATTATTGTGGGAAACATCACCATCCAGAGAATATGACTGAAGAAGAATTCAAAGCTTAATTTGTTTTGAGCGTCTTTTATATTATGTATATCTATCATTTTAAGCCCTATTAAATAATTGTTTACTTTCTGCTTCATCATCATCATCCAGTGCCTTGCCGACTGGCATGGGCGATCATGGACCTCCACTTCCCTCAGTCTTGCGTTGCAGCAATGGTGTCTGATGTTCTTGCTGCTCCAAGCCATGTTGTCGACTTGTCCAGTATCTTTTCCCTCTGTCTGCCTCTGCCTCTCTTTCCATCAAACTTACCTGTTACAATATTCTCCAATGCTTCTGTCCGCATTGTGTGTCCTATGAAATTGCCTGTCACTTTCGTACATTCAATTATATTCGTACTTTCTGCTTACTGATCCCATACTCCACGAGGATCGTAGGGGGCGCTGTATGATAGACAGCCTTCTCAGGTGCTCCACTTTTCATGGGGTTTTTTTAATTTGCGAGAGCCTGAGTTTGGGCTAAGGATTTCCCTCTCCATTCCGCAATGTTGTCGGTTCACTTCTTCCTTTGCCTTCCTCTCCTTCTCCTCCCCCTTCACAGTTCCCTGAACAATGGTCTTGTATAGGTCAGACGTCCTCTTGTTACATGACCATACAATTATTCTTTTTTTTTCGCTTAACAGTAGACAGCAAGTTTTTAAACTTAATAGTGACATAAATTGTGCAGTTGGATAAAGCTCAATTTCCTTTGTGGGATTTTAAAAGCATAATGTATAAATCCTGCTAAATCGTATAGTGAGATTTATATCTCAATTCCTTTTGTGTGTTTGGTTGGGGTTTTTTTGTGTAATTTTTAAGTTCTACAAAGTTACATAGTGTCTTCTGCTTAAACCATCGGTAATAAGGCTTTTTTTAAATACTATTTTTATTTGTCTTTTTTATATTTGTTTGTTTATTTGTTTGTTTGTTTGATTTTTATTTTATTATTTTTTTTTTTAATTTAGAATATTTAGTTTAGCATAATGGTGAAATCAGGTGCTCGATAAAATAATTAAATCGAAGAGACAGACATTTATCTACATGTAGGAAATTTTTTAGCCAGTTATTGATTTATTGATTTATTGATCTATATATCTGTTTATTTACTTATTTTTTAATTTTTTTTGGTTTTGTCTGAATGCCTTTTACGTCCACTAAAAACACACCCCTGCGTCGATTTTACGAAAAGCGTTGATCAAGGGCACAACAAAAAGTAAATTTGTGTTTTCCAAAGACACTCACACACAGGACGTCAGAGTCGCTGAAGGTCAGTTTTCACTTTGAAAAAACAACAACCTCCAATTAGACACAAACATGTACAAAAAACTCCAAAACAAGCCAATCCAAGAAAGGAAAAAAATAGCTCTGATTAAATATCCCTGGCTTCATTAGTTGTTATTATTTTTTCGATTTTTTAAAAAGAGTTTTTTAAAGACATTTTTCCTCGTACATTTGGAAAATAAAACCAGCGAGTGTACGAAATTTCTTTAACATGCCCACCGTAGCTGTAGATGTTAAAACTTTAAAAATTATATATATAA